TGAACGTTGTAAGCGCAAAATTCCAAATTAAAAGTCCTATTATCATTCTACATAACCTGAAACATAAATAAATGAATGAATAAATAAAAGTGTGTGTATGTGTGTGTTTTCTTTCCCTCTATATAGTCAGTATAGGGTAAATTAATGAGAAGAAAAAAAATAATAATACAGTAAACGGGATTGTTAAGTTTGAACTAATACAAACAAACAGTTTCAGTATGCGAATGTTTGTGTGAATCTGAGAAGGGTGAATTTTAATCATGAACATGTTCCAGTGGCTACGAACCTCAGTGTAAAATTTCAACACCCAAACCTAGCCACAAAAGAAATGTTGCATTTTTATTAAAAGAAAAACAAACAAACACTGTACCAAAGTGCATTTGTAAGGTTACGAGACAATAGTCTGCATTCAGTGAGGTAGAGAAAATAACACTTGCTTGTGTTAGTAAAAACCACATTAATTTCTTACACAACGTTCATTTGAAATCCCATGATGTCTTCATTTATGAAAGATGGCCGTAAATAATAATACTTAAGTAAACTTAACACAACAAATGAAACACCACAAGGCAGTATTCAGTCAGTAACGCACGACAGCATTAGAATATTGCACATTTCGTATTATCCCACACCTCATGAACATTACAGTGATTTAAATAATCTAGCTTTTACCCTGATCTCGTAAATTAAAAAGGATTCGGAATCCAGCAGCTGAAGTGTTTTGATTCAAGTAACAGTTAAGAGCAGTGTGCTTGCTTGATGAATACAAACTCTCCCCCGTGCAGTGTAAACGGTCCGTTGCTTTCCTGTCCGGTTTCAACACCTGTCGAAGCAGGGGTACAGCGGGTTCACCTGGTAAGCCGTGCTGGGCACGTTCACCTTGGCATCCATGGTCTGTGTGAGACCGTGCAGAGGGGCCGTGGAGACCTGCATTGGTGCCGTATGTGTCAGATATGTTGCAGGACCTTGAGAAGACACTACCACCGGCTGACAGCTCTGCTGCATGTATTGCGTGTTCGGCCGCTGCATGTACTGATGCAAGGACACACTCTGACCCCGGACGGGATACACCATCTGTGCAGGCTGAGCACTCGGCTGCGGGCATTTCTGCTTGTTTGCTTCCTTTACGTCACTGTCATGAGCACTGAGAGAGCGAGGGAGAGGATATTAGGGAAGATGATGATTTCCATGTTTGTAGCATCAAAATGACCATTCAACTAGAACACAATATTTTCAGTCATTTTAGTACTTAAAGTGAAACTGAATGAAAATGAGAAATGATGCCTTTGCAACTAGCTGAAATAAAATAAGTTAATGATTTTTAGTTAATGTTGAGTTTATTTCAAGTAACAAAAAATGCAGAAATGCATTCTGTAACGTTGTATATGCATCCAATCAACTTGCATTTACAAGCATTCAGTAAAGCTGCATATGCATCAATTCAAGTTGCATTTGCATGCATCCCAAACATTTGTATTTGCATCAATGAAATTGCATTTACATGCATTCAGTAAAGATGTAAATACAACTTAAATGCATGCATTTACATCTTTACTGTATCTACAACTTTACTGAATGCACTCAATTTGCATTTACATGCATTCAGTAAAGTTACATATGCATCAATTCAAGTTGTATTTACATGCATTCCATAGTTTGTATATGCATGAATAAAGTTGCATTTACATGCATTCAGTGAAGATGTAAATGCAACTTAAATGCATGCATTTACATCTTTACTGTATGCAAGTATGTAACAATGCTTGCATGTACAATTTTAATGCATGTAAACGCAACTTGAATTTATGCTTATGCAACTTTATTGAATGCAAGTAAATGCATTCAGTAAAGTTGTATATGCATCTATTCAAGTTTCATTTACATGCATTAAAATTGTACATGCATGCAGTCAAACTGTACTTACATGCATTCCATTTGTATGGTTTTTTGTTAACGATAACAACCCTGGGTCAAACTCACATTAGAAGTCTCTCCACGCAGGGCAGCAGCTGCTCCCAGGTGTACGCTGACAGACGCTGCAGGCGCGGAGGCCAGGTCGGAGACAGACGCAAGATTACCCTGGAGGAGGCAACACACGCCGCAGCAACCAGGGACGGGACGAATCGCAGAAATGCATGGTCTTGACAGAAAAAGGAAATGTAAAAGAACAAAACATTCTGATTCTCTATATCATGCAGTTCTTATACACTCCCACAAACATTCAACAGGTGAAAATGCACTGCATCTGAATTAAACTCTGCACCTTGTAAAGAGACCTCTAGGAAGTAGTCAGCATATTTGGACATGTACAGCATGGTCTTCTCCATGCACACCATCGGCCAGCCGTCATGCAGGTCCGTCTCATTCACAGCGACCGGCAGGTAGTACTCTATGAAGTGAGCAGCGGTGGGGAGGTACAGGTTCCACTGAAACGTCTCGAGGAGCAGCAGCTCCATATGCAGCAGACCCTGTTTGGTCAGAACCAGGTTCATAGAGCTCATGCAGCCCAGACTGTTCAGTGTCTCCAGCTTCGGGACGCAGTCTTCTCTCTCCTCAAACTTACCTGGATAATAAAAGTGGTTATGCTGAGTGGTTATGGCGCAATACTATGTGGTGTGCTTTGTGCATCTCACACAATAACAGAATATCACAATCACAATAACAGGAGTATGACTCTTACTGGCCAAAAGCAAGCAGGACAGCGCGACCATGTGAAGCTGCTGTACTGAGATGTCATAGCGGTCCATGAACAGGTCCAGCAGATAAACAGCCAAGTGTCTGGCCGCCGGGCAAAGCTTGAAGCGATTGCTGACTATAGCGATAAGGTCTGCAAAATATCGTCTAAGGCTCAGCTGTGGGGACTGGCCTTTGTACGCAGGCAACCGCAGCTCCTGAAAGACATCCAACGAGACAACCACACTGCAATTAATATGTTTTATAATATTGATTTGTGCAATAATCAGTTTAAGTTGCACATGCATGCAATTGCCAAATTAAGTTGCATATGCATGCACTGAATTTGTAATATACTGTATATTTATATTAATTTGTAAGTCGCTTTGGATAAACGCGTCTGCTAAATGACAATGTAAATGTAAATTTGCATTTATATACATTTAAATGTTGCATGTGCATGCATACAAAGTGCATTTACAAGAATTCAATAAAGTTGCATGCATTCATACATTGAAGTTGCATTTATATGAATTCAGAACAGTTGCATATGCATGCATGTAAACAAAATTTACATGAATTCACTAAAGTTGCATATTATACATGCATTCAATCAAGTTGCTTTATTCATGCTTTCAAGCTGCATTTACATAAATTCAGAAAAGTTGCATATGAATGCATTCAGTAAAGTTGCATATGCATACATTCAAGTTGCATTTACATGAATTCAGTAAAGTTGCATATGCATGCATGCATGCACTACATTACAAAATCCAAAAGACAATTTCACTACCATGACAATTTTGTAATAACAGATTTGTGCAAGGTTCATGTGCATGCATGTTCGATGGCACCAAAAACCAACACAATGACAGGAATACAAACTTTGTAACGCAGGGCCTGATAGATGTCCTCTGCAAGTTCTCCTTTCCACCACTGACCCTCCAGCTCCATTGGGCTCCTGGAATATATGAGGTTTAAAGATCAGATCAGCTCCATTGAGCAAAAAGCACCTCAATGCATCCCAAGACAAATCAAAGCTCCAGCAACACTCAGCACTGATGACGGTGAGACCGCTGAAGGTCTTGGTTGGTCCAGCACACTTCAGGAGGAGAAGATCATTTAGAGTAACAAGCCTGGGTCTTCCTCAGTGTGCACAATAGTTATTGGGTCAAACAAACCAATGCATATCACAGGCAACATAACGGAATGACTTACTATACAATATACATTACAAAACATACAAAACATACAATAACCTACTATAAATCAAAGGGTCATGTCAATAATAGAATAGCGCAACATGTTTAACTTTTAAAGGGAAAAAGCAGACGATGAAAACTTTTCAGAGTCTAGAATCAGTAAAGAACTCACCGCACACAAGGACGCCTGCATACAGACAGTACAATGAAAACTAGCAGCCGAACAAACTTACTCGGATAATCAAAGTGTAACTCAAATCAAAGTTTACACTGTGTTCACGAGCAAAGAAACAGCACACAGCACGGCGAGCGCATTGCCAATCTCAGCCAATCAAAACCCGCCTTACAATCACAGAGCGCGACCAATCAGAATTAAGCTTTCATCAGCGTCAAGGCACGAATGTTTGTCGAGTGTCAAAGAGCAGCTAATCACAGAATTACACTGACAAAAGTGGTGGGAAAACATAAGAAGAAAACAACTTGCACGTGACACCTAAAAGAAACACAATTTTCACTATTAGCTGTTTGTAAAGTTTGTAAAACACCTTTCAACCCAAATATCGGAGCCTGCTATAACAAGATCTCACCGCTAGAGGCCGCCCTCTCCTCAATAATGATCACAGCATATAACCTTTGATTTTCTACAGAATGCAAATTGTATGAAATGCTTGTTTTTTTACTAATATAGTAATTTTGCTATATCATTCCTAACAATGTTTTGCCACACATTTGTCAAACATTACATTTACATTTAGTAATTGAACAAATGCTTTTATTCAAAATGACATAAACATTAGAAAAAAACAAAAGCAAATTACTGCAGGGAAAACAAAGTCTCGCAAAAGTGAGATGTATGTAAGTCATGTTAGCACCCTGAGCAGAAGTGTAAATGCAGAACAAACTCAATCTATTAGCATGTATTCAAAGACAGACTGTACTTTCCTTTTTAGATTTGTGTTTTCCTTATGCCTTAAAAAGTGCTCCCAGACCTGTCCAGTTTTTTGATAATTACATTTTTTTGTACTTTTTACTTTTTATTTATTTATTTTATTTATGATGATGATGATTATTTTGAGTAATAGATTTAAACCAATGTTGGCTTGTGATGACCTTTGGCTTTGTGCATCATGCCATAAAAACATGCCATTGAAGCATAGCTTCACAGGGGTACAGCGGGTTCACCTGGTAAGCCCTGCCTGGCATGTTGACCTTAGCATCCATGGTCTGTGTCTGCGTGAGCCCCTGCATTGAGGCCGTATGTGTCAGATATGTTGCAGGACCTTGAGAAGACACTACCACCGGCTGGCAGCTCTGCTGCATGTATTGCGTGTTCGGCCGCTGCATGTACTGATGCAAGGACACACTCTGACCCCGGACGGGATACACCATCTGTGCAGGCTGAGCACTCGGCTGCGGGCATTTCTGCTTGTTTGCTTCCTTTACGTCACTGTCATGAGCACTGAGAGAGCGAGGGAGAGGATATTAGGGAAGATGATGATTTCCATGTTTGTAGCATCAAAATGACCATTCAACTAGAACACAATATTTTCAGTCATTTTAGTACTTAAAGTGAAACTGAATGAAAATGAGAAATGATGCCTTTGCAACTAGCTGAAATAAAATAAGTTAATGATTTTTAGTTAATGTTGAGTTTATTTCAAGTAACAAAAAATGCAGAAATGCATTCTGTAACGTTGTATATGCATCCAATCAACTTGCATTTACAAGCATTCAGTAAAGCTGCATATGCATCAATTCAAGTTGCATTTGCATGCATCCCAAACATTTGTATTTGCATCAATGAAATTGCATTTACATGCATTCAGTAAAGATGTAAATACAACTTAAATGCATGCATTTACATCTTTACTGTATCTACAACTTTACTGAATGCACTCAATTTGCATTTACATGCATTCAGTAAAGTTACATATGCATCAATTCAAGTTGTATTTACATGCATTCCATAGTTTGTATATGCATGAATAAAGTTGCATTTACATGCATTCAGTGAAGATGTAAATGCAACTTAAATGCATGCATTTACATCTTTACTGTATGCAAGTAAATGTAACTTGAATGCATGCATATACAATTTTACTGAATATATGTAAATGCAACTTGAATTAATGCTTATGCAACTTTATTGAATGCATGTACTGTAAATGCAAATTGAACGCATTCAGTAAGCATCTATTCAAGCTGCATTTATATGCATTCAGTAAAGTTGTACATGCATGCATTCAAACTGTATTTACATGCATTCCATTTGTATGGCTTTTCGTTAAGGATAACAACTCTGGGTGAAACTCACATTAGAAGTCTCTCCACGCAGGGCAGCAGCTGCTCCCAGGTGTACGCTGACAGACGCTGCAGGCGCGGAGGCCAGGTCGGAGACAGACGCAAGATTACCCTGGAGGAGGCAACACACGCCGCAGCAACCAGGGACGGGACGAATCGCAGAAATGCATGGTCTTGACAGAAAAAGGAAATGTAAAAGAACAAAACATTCTGATTCTCTATATCATGCAGTTCTTATACACTCCCACAAACATTCAACAGGTGAAAATGCACTGCATCTGAATTAAACTCTGCACCTTGTAAAGAGACCTCTAAGAAGTAGTCAGCATATTTGGACATGTACAGCATGGTCTTCTCCATGCACACCATCGGCCAGCCGTCATGCAGGTCCGTCTCATTCACAGCGACCGGCAGGTAGTACTCTATGAAGTGAGCAGCGGTGGGGAGGTACAGGTTCCACTGAAACGTCTCGAGGAGCAGCAGCTCCATATGCAGCAGACCCTGTTTGGTCAGAACCAGGTTCATAGAGCTCATGCAGCCCAGACTGTTCAGTGTCTCCAGCTTCGGGACGCAGTCTTCTCTCTCCTCAAACTTACCTGGATAATAAAAGTGGTTATGCTGAGTGGTTATGGCGCAATACTATGTGGTGTGCTTTGTGCATCTCACACAATAACAGAATATCACAATCACAATAACAGGAGTATGACTCTTACTGGCCAAAAGCAAGCAGGACAGCGCAACCATGTGAAGCTGCTGTACTGAGATGTCATAGCGGTCCATGAACAGGTCCAGCAGATAAACAGCCAAGTGTCTGGCCGCCGGGCAAAGCTTGAAGCGATTGCTGACTATAGCGATAAGGTCTGCAAAATATCGTCTAAGGCTCAGCTGTGGGGACTGGCCTTTGTACGCAGGCAACCGCAGCTCCTGAAAGACATCCAACGAGACAACCACACTGCAATTAATATGTTTTATAATATTGATTTGTGCAATAATCAGTTTAAGTTGCACATGCATGCAATTGCCAAATTAAGTTGCATATGCATGCACTGAATTTGTAATATACTGTATATTTATATTAATTTGTAAGTCGCTTTGGATAAACGCGTCTGCTAAATGACAATGTAAATGTAAATTTGCATTTATATACATTTAAATGTTGCATGTGCATGCATACAAAGTGCATTTACAAGAATTCAATAAAGTTGCATGCATTCATACATTGAAGTTGCATTTATATGAATTCAGAACAGTTGCATATGCATGCATGTAAACAAAATTTACATGAATTCACTAAAGTTGCATATTATACATGCATTCAATCAAGTTGCTTTATTCATGCTTTCAAGCTGCATTTACATAAATTCAGAAAAGTTGCATATGAATGCATTCAGTAAAGTTGCATATGCATACATTCAAGTTGCATTTACATGAATTCAGTAAAGTTGCATATGCATGCATGCATGCACTACATTACAAAATCCAAAAGACAATTTCACTACCATGACAATTTTGTAATAACAGATTTGTGCAAGGTTCATGTGCATGCATGTTCGATGGCACCAAAAACCAACACAATGACAGGAATACAAACTTTGTAACGCAGGGCCTGATAGATGTCCTCTGCAAGTTCTCCTTTCCACCACTGACCCTCCAGCTCCATTGGGCTCCTGGAATATATGAGGTTTAAAGATCAGATCAGCTCCATTGAGCAAAAAGCACCTCAATGCATCCCAAGACAAATCAAAGCTCCAGCAACACTCAGCACTGATGACGGTGAGACCGCTGAAGGTCTTGGTTGGTCCAGCACACTTCAGGAGGAGAAGATCATTTAGAGTAACAAGCCTGGGTCTTCCTCAGTGTGCACAATAGTTATTGGGTCAAACAAACCAATGCATATCACAGGCAACATAACGGAATGACAATACATACAATATACATTACAAAACATACAAAACATACAATAACCTACTATAAATCAAAGGGTCATGTCAATAATAGAATAGCGCAACATGTTTAACTTTTAAAGGGAAAAAGCAGACGATGAAAACTTTTCAGAGTCTAGAATCAGTAAAGAACTCACCGCACACAAGGACGCCTGCATACAGACAGTACAATGAAAACTAGCAGCCGAACAAACTTACTCGGATAATCAAAGTGTAACTCAAATCAAAGTTTACACTGTGTTCACGAGCAAAGAAACAGCACACAGCACGGCGAGCGCATTGCCAATCTCAGCCAATCAAAACCCGCCTTACAATCACAGAGCGCGACCAATCAGAATTAAGCTTTCATCAGCGTCAAGGCACGAATGTTTGTCGAGTGTCAAAGAGCAACTAATCACAGAATTACACTGACAAAAGTGGTGGGAAAACATAAGAAGAAAACAACTTGCACGTGACACCTAAAAGAAACACAATTTTCACTATTAGCTGTTTGTAAAACACCTTTCACACCTTTCAACCCAAATATCGGAGCCTGCTATAACAAGATCTCACCGCTAGAGGCCGCCCTAATGATCACAATGATCACAGCATATAACCTTTGATTTTCTACAGAATGCAAATTGTATGAAATGCTTGTTTTTTTACTAATATAGTAATTTTGCTATATCATTCCTAACAATGTTTTGCCACACATTTGTCAAACATTACATTTACATTTAGTAATTGAACAAATGCTTTTATTCAAAATGACATAAACATTAGAAAAAAACAAAAGCAAATTACTGCAGGGAAAACAAAGTCTCGCAAAAGTGAGATGTATGTAAGTCATGTTAGCACCCTGAGCAGAAGTGTAAATGCAGAACAAACTCAATCTATTAGCATGTATTCAAAGACAGACTGTACTTTCCTTTTTAGATTTGTGTTTTCCTTATGCCTTAAAAAGTGCTCCCAGACCTGTCCAGTTTTTTGGTAATTAACTTTTTACTTTTTATTTATTTATTTTATTTATGATGATGATGATTATTTTGAGTAATAGATTTAAACCAATGTTGGCTTGTGATGACCTTTGGCTTTGTGCATCATGCCATAAAAACATGCCATTGAAGCATAGCTTCATTTCTAACTTATATTTTTGCATTGAAATGTAAAAACAATACACGTTAATTTGATTTAAACATTCAGCATTTTTTATTTTATTATTGAAACATTTTTTACATTTACAACATTTACTTTTGCCCCATGCACGGCCCTCAGTAAATATTGATTTTTGGTTCTTTGTATTAAAAGTTTGAGCACCTCTGATTTAAATGACAAATATTCTATCAATATGAGATTGTAGCTATTGATTCTTAAAACGCATCTTTTCTCCCAATATTTTTACATCCTTGATATCTAAGCAATGTGATTCTCCTGACTTTTCCATGACTTACTTTTTGAATGAATAATTTCTATTTTAATAATCATAATAATTGTCTTTTTGAGACTTGGAAATCACAGTTTTAGCTTGAAAGCATGACATTATTGACTTAAATGGCCATGAATTGAATAGCAATTACAAAAAAGTAAAAATAGATTAAACAAATAAAGTAAAAATAACAAATAATTTCTACATTGTTAGAATGTGTGTGTGTGTGTGTGTTTACTCTTTTCTCACATTCTCATTGACGCAGTGTGTAATAAACTGCTCAGCATGTAAGTGCTGTGTGCCTCTATACGGTCGTTATAAACAGTGCTGAATGATGTGTGTTGAAAGAGGAAGCACATGCTGTCTTCACAGGGCTGTGCACATCATGTGTGTAATAAACTGCTCAGCATGTAAGTGCTGTGTGCCTCTATATGGTCGTTATAAACAGTGCTGAATGATGTGTGTTGAAAGAGGAAGCACATGCTGTCTTCACAGGGCTGTGCACATCAAGTCTGTGGCATGAATGAGCTTCTTTCATTAACAGAAAGCCTACATGTAACTAGGCATTAATGCATGGAAAAATGCATGCAATTTAGACAATGCAGTTAGACATTAGTACGATGTGGCATGCAGGTAATCCATTCTTGTCATGAGCTGCTTTTGTCCCCGGATTGAACTGTCATGGCTGCCGCGCGCTGTTGACTGACTCTGGTTGGACGGGAGGCGGAAAAGCGCTGTAAGTCTGGTCACCTTCGACACTTTTACATGCACTTATATGCGTTTTCACATATGCATTGCATAAACTTTGACTTTGAAGCAGAGTGAAAGTTTTATTAGTGGAAATGCAGTGTCGGACGCGCATAATGGCATGCACGATTTGAAAAACATGTTTGTTGGTCAACTTTAAATAGGCAAGTCTGCATAGTTGCTAAAGTAAACTCTATCGCAGGCTATTGGCTTTGCATTTTACATCGCACTGCATTAAGTTTGATCTGAAACGATTTTAAAACTTTATAACACGTTCATTGCATTGTGACACAGGGTGAATTAGGCAGCTGAACCACAGGTGCAAACTGATTGTACTTTATTTAACTCGTTCAACTCACGGTGCATGCTTAGTACATTATATCTGATCATATAATTTCTAACATTTTATGTCTTTTGAGATGCATGGATCAGTATGCACGTGTATATTAAGACAAAGATGAGAGGAAGACTATTAAATACTCGTGTAGTGAAACTATGCTTTCAAAACAATACAGTACCATGGTACAGTGATGTTAATCCCATGGTACTTTGATGTGTATCATGGGATTAAAAGACTATCATATTACAACGGAATTTACAAGAAGGTTCCAGTGTATTTCAAAGAATACCATGGTATTACCATGGTACATGTTTAGAAAACACTAGTACTGAACTCATAGTCATTTATTTGTTACACACATGTTGCATAAGCAGTTAAGGAATAATAATTAAAAAGTAAACATAACAAAGGAGGACTGAGTACACATATACATGTACTATCATGTATATACCATGTTCAAAAATCATGGTAATACCATAGTACAGAGCATTTAATGCACACTTAAGTTTAGGTTCATTCAAATATATTGACTTGTAATAAAGATGTTGTAGTCCGGTTTTGGGTAACTAACTAAGGTAACGTTATAAATGACATTTCAAAGAAGACCAAGTTCTGTTTTTTAAAGAAAAATCTTGATGTACACACTGTATATGTAACAGTTTTTAAAATCTTTGTCATATGTGGTAAGATTTCGATCATAAACACTAGTTAATAATTCAATTGAATGTCCATTGAATAGTTTACGCAGCATGCATTACAATAATTACTCAAAATTACAAGAGAAAATGTAATAAACAAAAGCAGAAAATGCATATGTACTGTATGCACTGCAAAAATGATTTTCTTGCTCAATATTTTTTGTCTTGTTTTCAGTATAAATATCTAAATATTCTTAAATCAAGATACATGTTGAGAGGCAAAATGACTTGTATAATGATATAAAGCCTTGTTTTCTAAAAATTGTATCATAATTAAGTGAGTTTATGCTTAAACAAAGAAAAAAATCTGTCGATGGGGTCAGAAAAATAAACTTACTCAGTATTTTTGTCTTGTTTTTAGTATAAATGTATAAATATTCTTAAGTCAAGTTACATTTGCTTGAGAGGCAAAATGACATTAAAAATATCAAGTCTTTTATTCTGAAAAAAATTATTAAAATTTAAACAGAGTTTATGCTTAAAACAAGAAGAAAATCTGTTAATGGGGAAATAATAAACTTAATTCAATGGCAAAACAAAACACTGACAGATATTTATTCTTGTTTTAACAAAGAAAAAAATCTGTCGATGGGGTCAGAAAAATAAACTTACTCAGTATTTTTGTCTTGTTTTTAGTATAAATGTATAAATATTCTTAAGTCAAGTTACATTTGCTTGAGAGGCAAAATGACATTAAGAATATCAAGTCTTTTATTCTGAAAAAAATATTAAAATTTAAACAGAGTTTATGCTTAAAACAAGAAGAAAATCTGTTAATGGGGAAATAATAAACTTAATTCAGTGGCAAAACAAAACACTGACAGATATTTATTCTTGTTTTAAGCATAAATCCACTTAATTTTGATACTTTTTTTCTAGAAAACAAGCTTTTGTCTTGTTTTCAGTATAAACAACTAAATATTCTTAAATCAAGTTACATTTACTTGAGAGGCAAACTGAATTGAGATGTCTTGCTTTCTGAAAAATTTATCAAAATTAAGTGAGTTTATGCTTAAAACAAGAAAATGTTTCTGCCAATGGGCTAAGAAAAAAACAAGATAATTTTTCCTTGTTTTAAGCATAAATTCACTTAAATTTGATCAGTTTTTCAGAAAACATATACTATTTTAAGTAGTTTCCTTTCTCAAATAAATGCATCTTAATGAAAAAAAAAAGTTTAGATATTTGTAATGGAAAACGAGAAAAATACTAAGTTAGAAAATTATTTTTTACAGTGTATCACTCATGCTCAGTATTGCAACCAGAAACATTGGTGAAAATCTAATGACACTGGTTATGCATTCTATTAATACACTGGTTAATATAATGACACTGTTGTATGGATTATTGAGTTTTGAGCATGATCTATCTAAAAGCTCAAATTTCGCTTGTCTTGTATAGGGCTCTGTACATCCAATATGAATGGGGTCAATGCCAACCCTGACACTCAGGTTGGGAATGAAGAGAGGGGCATTTGGCATAAACGCCTGCGTCTCAGGAAGGCCTCCTTTTCATTCCCTACTGAACGAAACACTGTGAAACAGGAGAGGAATGTTACAGCACGTGGATGGAAAGTAAAAGGGAAGTCCAAGAAGCAACCTCAAAGTCTTCAGGCGGTGAACACCTTCACCTGCTCCTCGTGCAACGACGGCATCTCCTTCAGACCCGGCGAATTAACAATGCATTTTAAGATCGTCCACGGAGGGAAAGGAAGCCCACCGGTGTTTCCGTGCGACATGTGTGGTTTCTCCTCGCCGGTGTTCACTACGCTTCAGCAGCACCGAATGAAACACGAGGATTGTTTGTTCGCTTGTGAGATTTGTGATGACAACGTCCAGCGAACGCTTCCCCAACTGACCAAACATTGTCAAACTCACCATGCTCTAAACGCACAATACTACTGTCTGAAATGCAAACACTCCTTCCAGGAGATTAAGCAGTTTGTGTGTCACTCGTGTTGCATTACTGATGGCAGTGCACAGAAAAACGATCTCTTAAAGCACATGGCTGCTGCGTGCCGTCAAAGGTGGAGCCGAAGAAATTGGTGGAGAAAGCGGGCAGCTGTTAAGCAAGACAGTAAGCTGTCTCGAGAGTTCAAGTACTTACT